CAAGAGTTGGCTACCCAACTGAAGAGACCAAAGAGAAAAGATACCTAAAGCTGTCTATTCTGAAAGAAGTAGTGCCCAAAAAATGAGTAAATGAAGGCGGCAGAGCCAAGTTGAGAGGAACAGCGTTTCGACTGCCGTTCCATACTTCAGCGTTTCGCATTCACTAACTAAAGCGAAGCGGCAGTCACATACAAGACTATCTCTGTACCATCGCTTTTTGTGATCTTCAGCTCTAGCGTGCATCATGCGGACTTGACTGGGAGTAAATGTTGCCAGGCCAAGTGGAAGCAACGACGGCTTCTAGACGAATCATGAATCACAGATTTTGTAACACGGTGAAATTCTGTCCTGTGTTTTTCACCGTTCACTAATGTCAAACGATGGAGATATTATTTCGCAAGTGGTACACCATAATGATTTCCAGAATTTAAGTTTAAAAGAAATACGATGTCGAACATCTTGGAGCTCAGGGCCTGAGATTTTCTTAGCTTTGAATTCTTCCTCTCTTGCCTTGTTTTCTTCTTATTGACTAATGTACTTATCTTATGCTTCTTATTTTTGTGCTATTTCATCTTTCCACCGTATTTTATCTTCCTCCTCTTGCCTACCTATTTATGGGCATAAGCTTCCCACTACGTTACTGATTTGTATTCAGAACCTTAGAATGTATTGACGGGATGATCCGCATATCGGATTTATTATACACATATTTTTTAACGCTTCAGATCAAGTTTGATCCAGACATAATATAAAACAAGCTGTCCATATTAGCCAATGGGTGCTTAACTACGCTGGTTTGCAGAATTCTTGTGCGATTTGATGTAAAGTACAGAAAATTCCGGAGGCCACATCAAGGAGAATAAGCGAATAAAATCAGAAACACTGCTCTATGAACAGATTATTAAATACTTAGTAAGTTCGGTGTGAAAACAAAAAGTTTGGTCCTGCCAAATGTTTCCTTTATTAACAAGCAATATTCAAGGAGTTTTAAAACAACTCTGTAAGTTCTTAAAAAGTTACATCCTTAATATTCACCTGCAAGAGAATCATCTCAAGCAGCTAATTATGCAAGAAATACGGTTGTTGCCCAAGCAGTGATGCTAAAAAATATCGTTTATCAAGTTCATTGTAGCGACCGTAGACACGCTGAGACTGAGACACATATGTCTATGAAATTCAGACAGTCATCCAGAATACCCACGCTGGACAAAATGATACGACGGGTGAAAAAATAGCATAAAATACGTTTCACTTACACGCCACGCAAAAGATACTGCTGTCAGTCCGATGACTGACTAATACAATCACTTCAGCCCGTGTCTCACGGGCCTTCTTCAAGGTAGGTTGGCAGTGAATTTTCGTGAACATGGTTAATCATCCGTAGTAATCAACAGTTTCCGAATCACAAGGCAAGCGTTCGGTTCTTGCTGCTAGTTTATGGGCGAAGAAGACGACGAGGCTCAATCCCTTCAGATATATACTATATATAGCATTTCGGAATAGTATACCCCAGAAAGACGGAAAAAGAACTAAGATCGCTCAAAATCTGCAGCCATGAATGACAACAAACGAGCAGTGACGTAACTCATAATCAATAACGCATGCAATTAAAAGACAGGGAACACGAAGATACAAATGAAGCTGACAAAATTTCAGATATATTGCGAGAAGTGGGACCTACAAAAAACAGGCGAGACGATGAAGGACTCCTGGAAAAAATGACGTCACAGTAAAACTCGTGGAATCAGGAAATGAACATGTCGACCGAGATTTTAGCGTGCTTGCTTCCATGCTGTGTTAAGGAAATTGAAAATTTCAGACGATTTGCCTACGCAATCGTCGATCCTACTCAGGGAAACAAAATGGATCTGCTAAGTAACAGGCCGATCAATTGTTGTAAATCATCCACATGATCGTCAAGAAGGCACTGATGAACAGACTTCAAGAATAAGAAAAACTGGAAGCTGCAGAGTCGAAGGAGTAAGCAGGATAAGAGCAAGCAGATTTAGTACGCTGGATCATCCGCACGTGGTAAAACAAGTAAATCAGCAAACAACAAATATCACCCCTTCCTCTCTGTTTGAGGTTAGTCGACTTAGAGAACGCTTCCAATTCAGTCTATATTTGTACTTTACTGCATTCCTTGAGGATCCAGGTAATCGAGGAAAGATACAGAAACTTCTGTGCAATAATCTACAAGTGCAATGGTTAGCGTGAAGCATCTCGAAAGCACCAACATGTTCACAATCGCGAACGGCATTCGACAGGGTGTGTAGATAAAGAAACCGTGTCATATGCTGTTTCCAACGTTATATACTAGCCTAGCTATGCATGCCATATAAATACACCTCTATCATGGTCGCCAGAAGAACTTCAAGCAATAATCCAAAAGCTGAACTACAGAAACTTCAGCATGAAAGCACAACTGAAAATTAATTTGAAGAAGACTCAGTTCATGCTTAGCAAATACGTTTACTCATTGAAGTCAATGGACTTTGGTTTGAAGAAGCGCTAAACTTCGTCTGTCTCAAACAGCCAATCTCAGAAACGGAGAATCGATCATCTGAAATCAAAAGAGGAACAAAAATGACATGGCGCATGTTTCTGTTTACTTTAATGGAAAAGTGCACTTGTATTTGAAACGGGGTTTTAATCAGTGCAAAAGCCCAGTGGTAACTTGTGCATGCGAAACATGGACCTCAAACCTGAAAGCCATTCATAAACCTTGACAGATTACGCAATGCAGCAGAGAAAAATGTATGTTGGTTATAAGAAGAAACATCAGGAAGTCGAATGAATCGCTAAGAGCACAAACAAGTATGTTATGTTACTGCACGAGGTTAAAAAGTAATAGTAGCAATGGGCATGGCACGTCCCCAGAAGAACGGACCATCGTTGGATCAAAAAGACATTAGGCTGGCTTCCTAGAAAGCAAACAGCACCTCTAGATCGATGGCAGGATAAACTGAAGAGGCTCGATGGATTAAGGGGGATAGAAATTACACAAAACAGAAGTTTATGTCAGTCTTTCAGATGCCTTTATTCAGCAGATGATCTACAAAGGCTGATAACTAATGGTGCATGCTTTCTAAACAATGATCTCATCAGGCTTTTCCCCGGTATTTTCTTGCATACCGTGGATCATTTTACAACAATTCACTTTCCAAATCCGTACCAAAAGTACATGTCAACCAGTCCA